TGTAAAAAACGCTTTGCTTCCCTTAATATCCAGAAGACCAACAAAGGAAGTTATGGCATACAGTGGAGGCATTAGCACAATAATGAGTATGGCCTTCTGCTCTTTGGCATTTTTCCAGTAGAAAAGATGTTGTGATACCAACTGTACTGTGAAATGCATAGATAACATAACACAACAAGCTGCTCCAAGGAGGGTAAGCGTTGGAGCATCCATTTTAGTAAGATCCATCCCTGGGAACATCGACATGGTGCCTGAAGATACAGATATTCATGTTTATTCATCAGGGATATGAACTTGAGCTAATGATTGTTCAAAAAAAAAAGGTAGCATGAAAAGAACAAAACACAAAGAGCGTGAAGATTTGTATGATCATTTTCAAGATAGTAAAGAGCCAATTGAATCTCCAAATCCTCATTTGGAGAGTCACTACAAAAGATCCCCTCTCCATTTTTTGCTTGCACTCCAACCGACTCCTCGAATCTCAATACCCAAATCCACTCATCGATATTTTTTTAGTTTCCTATATAACTACTTGAGATGAAAATTGCATTTGTGTTACCCTCACTAAGACTCAACAAACTGATGTAGTACTGATTATCGATGTGCCTGTCAACTCAGGAAAACAAACAGTACTTGTGAGGATATGTACCCAGCCATACAAATATAGCTAGCAAAAATCTGTATCAAGAGAGAAGAGATAGGCAGCAGATAGGAGCAGCGCTCAGCAGCACGAGCACGGCCCTCGTCGTCCGGGGCCGGCAAGGATGCAGGCGTCCTCGGCCGCCTTGAGGGTGCGGGCCGGCACCTCCCCGACGGCGACATGCCCCCGCCCCCTCTCCTCCCCGCACGGCCTCCCCTACGGTCCTCGGCCCCTCCCCTCCCTCGCCCACCCCACGGTACAGCAGCAACCAAGCACCGGCAACGACGTCGCTGGAGGAACCGTGCCCCGCCCACCTAAGCTTGTCCCTCCGGCCCGCCGCACACAAAACCCAGATCGGCGTCAGCCCCCGTCGGCACGCGCCGCCCAGCGGCTCCCTCTCGGCCGGTGCGGTACAGAAAACAGAGGAGGGAGGGAGCGGGGCGTGCCTGCAGGCTGCAGCTTCCGTCGGCACGCGGGAGGGAAGGGGGGTTGCTCGCTGCGGAGCCGCCGAGAGATCTGCAAATTTGGGCGCTGTCTGTCTGTCTGTCTGACGAGTAGCTTGGGGTCTTAACTCTTGATGTTGCGTTTCTTGTTTTTTCTTTTCTTGAGCGAGAGAAAGCTGGCATTATTATATTTACTGCAACAAACATCAAGTCTTTTTACACAGAAGATACACATCTGGAGGCTCCGTCTGCATTTCTTTCTTTCTTTCTTTTCTTTCTCTGTCAGCCGACTTCCACTCCACCTCCACCTCTCTCTCCCCAGCTGGCTGGCGTGACAAGCCTGAATGCCTGATGCACCGCGCGCGGCCAGATGGCTCCACACGCGCAACTCTGTACACGTACGTAGGGTACATGCCTTTTTTCTTTCGCAAAAACGTAGAGAGGGTACACGTCTTTCATTGCTTGGCAGATTGGGGCTGAGTACCAACTTGCAGACATGTCATATAGACTGATTAAGCTCTAATGCGGTATCGACGGCCACCCACGCTCGATTAAAATTCAACGTATAGCATGCACGAGAGAAACTTGTGCGCAGGGGCAGGGCACGCACTTGCATGTCTCGATCTGTACCTGTACGTGTGATTATTACAAAATTTGTTATACTACCTATATATTCTTGAATGTTTATCGTCTAGAAACTCACATTTCCCACCTTACTATCTATTTTCGTGCGAAAAGCATCGTATCTATTATAACAGTTCGGCGGAAGGACAAACCATCTCATCTCTACTCCTATAAAAGACTCAGTTAGTGATGATAGTATGTCTGTCATCCGTCATTTCTGACCACCAGATCTGCATCTAACGACCGTGATGTAACTTGTGCCTTTTCGCAACAATATCCCACTTCTCTGCTCCAATTTATAGAATACCCCTTAGTATCTTAAAACAAACCACAATCAAAACAGCCCAAGAAATATATTTTGACTGAAACATAATATATTTTTAGTGATATATGTATATCAAAACTAGATTGTTTTCTTCCAAATTTGTGAATATGCATTATTCTATTTTGGATCCGTTGCAACGCATGGGCACATTGCTAGTCAAATATAATAAAATTCTGAGAGCAACGAACAACGCTAGAACAAGCAGTCGACGCGTCGTTGTCGCCGCTCCCCTACCGGAGTCTGTTTGACCTTGTCGATGACAACTGTGGAGTCTTCGCGCGTGTGCCCTCAATTAATGACTAGTGCTCTGGAGCCACAATCGTTGTCGTTAAATCCTTGCACAGATCTGAAGCACCTGACCCAAAATCTCGTCACATGACGAGAAACCACCTCATCGCACCAGATAGACAAACTCAAGGAGGGTCGGAGGCCGGAAGAAAAACTCAAAGAAGAAGCAACATCATCCGTCTGAGCGCCGCACCTATAAGGACTAAAAAAAACTAAACTAAACTACTAACCGGAGTGGAGACACTGGGTTCCCCTCCCTGCCACCGGCTGCCGGAGCGGCAGACAGAGGGGAGGCGAATCCACTGGCTTACCGATGAAGCCTGGTGGGGAGAGTTTGCTCTAATAGCATAGGGTTAGGGGAAGAAATTACTTACTAATATGTCACTAACAACATGTAATCCGTCTTACATCAGGCTAATATGACATTTCCACACAAAAAAACACGATTCTAACTACAAGAAATGAACATTTTATTGTTTTAAAAAAGTCATTATTGTTTTTCTTCTTTCACATTTACCATCATTTCTCAAACAAGTCCCATGATGGAATTATCCCTTCATAATTTTTTACACACACCCGTGCCATCATGGAATTATCCCTTCATTTTTTTATTCTCCATACTTTTATGAACAATTTTTCTACAGAGCTGTTATTTTGTCTACAACAAACGTAATACCATTTGTGAGTCCAAAATTATACTCCCTCCATTCCTAAATATAGGGTGTATAGTTTTTGGCACGGAAATTAAAGAACGCACATGGAGAAAAAATTTCACAAGTTTTGGGCGAGATTTCACCTGACTAATTGACATGAGAAAATAGAGGATCTTGCTTGATATAAGGAAATATAATCAAATCCCTAAAAAAATTATCCAAATGAGTGGTGCAACGCAATACACCTTATATTTTGGTTTTTTCTCAAAAAACTATACACCTTATATTAAGGAACGGAGGGAGTATTATATTTTTCCTCCAACGTAAACTATTCTGTGATAAAAAAAATGTATCTTCCATAAAAAAGTACTTCTATCTTCTTAACAACACATGACTGTAATTTCTGTCAATTTTTATTTACCCCTTTCTATAACTATGCTTTATTTCGTTCCTCGAGCATTTTGCAATCTTTTCTCACCACATTAGAAATATTGTACGCAAAATAACATCCAAGTTCTACATGAAAGACAATTACTCCTTGTGCAACTCATAATTCTCCATGTCCGTGGTTACTAAGTGAGAGGACTCATTTTCTTAGTTTTCATCACTGCCCTAAGGAAGTCAATGTGACGGCAGATTTGTTGGCTAGTAAGTGAAAGGACCCGCAAACTCTTGTGTGGCAGTTCGAGCCTCCTGACTTTTTGCTCGATATTTGTAGCCCTTTTTCACATGAAATATAAACCGTCATGATAACATTTCCCTAAAAAACAATTATTATCCATATATCACAATGTACTTTTATTCTACAAAAGTTTTGAAACATTTTCCCTAAAATAATAGTATTCCCCAACAAGCCTGCTAATTATTCTGAGTACCCAGCTTAACTAAAAATATTTCTTCAACATAACTCAACATATAAAATCTTTTCAGACATTTCTCTTCAATTTCATCGGTAATTACAGTGATTCCTTATGAGTACCACTTTGTTTATGTCCAATATTATTCCACATCAAATGAATGCCTAATCCCTAAAATAATATCAAAAATTCTTACCACGGGATGTTTGTATATTGTTAGTGAAACTCTCCTACATTTTGGAAACATACATTTCTACCAGAGATCTGTTAAACATAAGTGATTACCTCTACGGTGTAAGAGCATCTACAATCGGATTGGGCAAACCCACCCTTCCAAACGCCCGCCCGCGTCGGACAACACTAAACGGCTCCTCATTTGTCCTCTTGGACAACCACACCCCTCATATTCAAATTCCATGTGCGTCCATCATGTATCACAAATTCATCACCAATGCAATGAAGCAAAATAAAAAACAATTCAATAGATGCCAAAAGAAAATACGATAATTCATAGATAGACAAACAAAATAATGAACCATAGATCTCGAAGCCACCAACACAATGAGGAGCGCCCCATCTCCATCAGACGATGCAAAGACCGAACAACACGGAGCGTGTTGGAGGAGGTGGATACCGCCATAAGGCGGGTACTCCAGCATCCTTTAAAGGAGATAAAGGAGAAATGCCACCTCAGTATTTTGCCTATCTATTACAGTAAGAGCCAAGCATTGAGCCCTTGGACTCTAGCCATCGATAGCGCCTACCAATCTCAGTAACCAGTTATCTTTATCTTTTAGAAACAAATATCGACAGAGCTGCAGCTGTCATATTATGAAATGCATCTATAAATCAATAAAAATGGAACGGCGAAAATGGACAAGGTTTGAAACTTACACCTATATCCTATACTGATACAATACATCACCCTCACCCATGTACTGAGAGACTACTACAAAGACACTATTTACAACCGGATCAACCGCTATACCTACACGATATTTACAGCAAAATCTCTTCCCACTCCTGAGCAGTAACAAGTAACAGAACGGGATACTATAACAAGACTGGATGAACTAATCTTATGTGACCTAGACTTGGCAGACATACCATTCAGATGGTACCTAACCCAAGGCTAAAGAAGAAAAGATCTTGCGACGATCAAAAACTCTACTAGCGCAGCATCTGCAGGAGCGAAGAACGGTTTTTAGGGTTCAGCCAGCCCATGGGACCTCCTCGCGCCGCTGGCTGATGAATATCGGCTTCTCGTCTTTGTAGTGCTCTCAGGAACTCCTCTGAGCTCAGGTGCCCATCATTGTTCATGTCAAACACATGGAAAATGATGTCCACCACTCTGTCGGTTAATTCAACACCACAGACCTATAACGAAACCAGAAAAGGCATGAAATCAGTAAAAGAAAATTATAGAAGTTATAGTACTAGGTACATGATTGAACAGCCCAAAGGACAGCTAGAAGTTTAGTAGTAGTTATCTAAACGCTTAAGTAACAAGCTTGGTACAAGATCTTACATGATGTGCTGCACGCTTCAGATCCTGCTTTGTCAACAGCCCATTTACTTGACCATAAGCAAATATAGCCATCGTCAATGATTCCAATCTTCGACGTAAATCACCAAATGCCTTGAACTCCTAAAGTCCCAGAAAATAAATCTATAAGAACCACATGAGAAAATAATTACGCAGAAAAGACCGACATGACCACAAGTCAAACCTCAAAGGTAATGCGCAAGTCCTTGAGGTAAGGGTCATTGCCCAACATATCAGCTCTATCAAGTAGCTTGCTAATGTGATTCATGTCAGCAGAAGCCACCATGGACAGTGCAAAATCCTTTGCAGGGATAGTGTTTGTCGACTTGACATCATAATGACTGAATTCCAGACGAATAATCTGCAGAGAAATGAATCAAGGGGACTGAGAAAAAATAGAGGGAGTTTGGGAGATATACAAATAGAAAACAGCTGGATGATTGCAATTGTAAATTTAGATAAAAAACACAAACTTTCAATACAAAATACTGTGTTTACAATATTTTATAGGTATACAAAAAATGGCATCAAGAAAATATGACATTCAGATTTAAACATCAGATGAAACATTCACTTTCCAATATGAAATAAAGAATGTTGCATCCTTCCAGTATGCAAACGTAAAACATTATGTACCGGCAGCCAGTTTGCAAATACGGTTATAGACTGACTAGAAGATAAATGGTTCAGGGGAGATGATGAGAGAATGTGAGATTGCGTTTTGCGCGTTCAGTACATGACATGCTTTCTGACAAGTCACTGAATATTGCATGCATTAATGAGAGGCAGTGCCCAGTGAAGTCCACAAAAGGAATATGGAAGAAGAAGCAAATTACCTCTTCATGCAATTCCTTCAAAAAACTTGTGAATTTATCAAAGTGTAGAGGTTCATTCCCATCATTACCAAAGAAATACTCAACAACCCCACCATTTTCCACAGACTGGCCAACTTTAAATCCTGTACGTAAGCCATGCCTATGGGCAGCTCCTTGTCTGTTATAGGACCGCATCAATGCCATTACTTTCTTGAACTCTTCTTTGTCTATCTCCCTGGAAATGATGAGAATCAACAGATAAGAACAACAAAACAACCGAGAAGAAGATTGCCAAAATTTTTCATTACCCTTCTTTTACCATCAACTAACAAGCCAGATGATTGAACATGCTCATAAAGAGCAGGTCTTTCTTTCTGGGCGACAAGAGAAATTAACTGCACGCGAATGATCACAGGTAAACAACAATATAGCACAAACAAGATATATTGTTCAAATGTATCTTGTTTATGCATAAATCAATCAAAGAGAACAAAAGGGGATAACATACCTTTAGCAGCTTCAGTAAACAAAACACGTCTACACGATAAACAAAGAAAATTGGATTGAAGCCACTAAACTTGATACATAACACGGCCTATTAATTAATTTCTTCTCCTACCAAAAAGTCAGTGTTTTACTATTATTTGTTTTACATGCAAACAGAACTGTAACAGGTTTGCTAATCAACAAACAGCTACATGGATAATACATATAATTCTACAGCAGAACCGTGTTCATAAGACAAAGTAGTGTGGTAGAAATAGAACTCACCCACTGAGATCGACGTCAAACATTTTGAAGGCCGCACTGAAGCTTGACTCAGGAATGCTGAGTAATGTAACAAAAAAGATGTACCTGCCATAGCCACCAAAAGCATAAATCACCACCAACAAAGCTGACTACAGTCCTATAACATGGTGTTTGTGTCAAACGGGGAGAAATCGCGATTCACTTACTCGGCAAACGAGATGAGACCATCGGTGTTTGTGTCAAACAGGACAAAGAATTTGGATGGAGCACAGTGCAGCTCTCCGGGGCTGGGTTCCCCCCTTAGCCTCCCTTCCCGCACGACGTTCGACTCTGATGGAGGGAAAACAGGGACCACCGCTCTCATCAAGTCGGCAGGCAACATGAACATTTCCCCATCCGGTTTTCGCACAGACGCGAAATACTCAAAAATCTAGGCAGAATAGCACCAAAAGTTAGAAAACGTAGGACAAACCAGGATCAAATTACACGCAACCAGCTACAATGCAGACAATGATGCTTCACCTTTTCAGGAGGGCTGCGAAGCCGTATCCTTTTCTCGTAGTTGAAGAACACCCTTCGGCGGTAGGAGTCTGCAGTGAGAGCAGAGAAAAGGGGTTTTGATCAGATCATCATCATAGGTTAAAATTTTCAAAACTTATTGTATAATAATTGCACGTAGTTATCAGACAGTTCATGCTTATTTGCTGTTTGATCTGAAAGCATGACAGAAAGCATCGCAAGACTTTACTACATTAGTACTACTATGTTTGGATTTACTACACTACACAACGCCGTGTCAACAGGTTTGGATATTTGTGGCCAGTGGGCTTATCGCTTATCTGGAGCTAGATCAGTACAGCAAGGCAAGCACCGTACCTATCGTAAACGTACTAGTAACGTTCTTTGCTAGAAGAAGAAAAGTGGAGGAGGCGTGCGATCAAACGATCGGGAAAGGTAGCAGCAGCCGCTAAAAAAAAAGGCAGTGTTGGTGGGGGGAAATCATGCGAAAGCGCGCGGCTTTTCCAGACCCCAGCGGGCAAGGAAAGCAAGCGTCACGGGGCAACGGCGGCGGCGGCGAAACCAGACGCGTGAATCGACCAAACGCCGTTGGAACCAAGGACGGACGGAGCGTCCTGCACCGTACGTCGGAGTAAATTGGGGGAACAGGACGGCTCACCTGCGAGCAGGAACCTCGGCCGCTTCTCGTGCCGCTCCTCGACGGCGCCGGCGCCCGCTGCGGCAGCCGAGATCTGCCCGGCCGCGGCGGCGCGGGCCAGCTCGCCGGAGTCCGCGAGCGCCGGCGGCATGAGCCAGAGCCCCAGCCCGGACCCGGCGACGGCCGCGGCGGCGGCGGCGATCACCCCCTCGCGGACGGTCGCCTTGGCCTCCGTCGTCGCTGCCGCGCTGGAGAAAGCTGCGCGGCCGGCGGGCGCCGCCGTCCTGAGCCGCCCGACGGCGGACCGGAGGAGCCTCAGGTGCGCCATGGGCGTCGGATTGGCGGGTCCCGGTTTCGTCGGGCGGCGCGGATGAGGAGGAGGCGGTTATGATTATCGGTGGCTGCGGTGTGGAGGAGGAGGAGGCGGAGAGTGTGGGTGGACTCTGTCCGGCTTGTGGGGGAGGGAGGAGGCGGCGATGCGTCGATGCGCGGAGCACTGGGAGGTGGAAGGGGAGAAAATGGGACGGGTTGCGGGCGCGTCGGCGTCGGCAGGGGGGCCGCCCCTTTTAACGGGAGGTGGCTGGCCCTGCGGTGGCTTGACTCTCACATTTCCCTTGTGATCCATTTGTTACGTGCACCAAACGGGCTGCGCCTGTTGTACTGCATCGTACGCAGTCGTGATCGTACGTACTGTGGTGTACTGGCTGCTGGCGTTTATGCTTGCACGCTTCAGTTCACGGTGCTGCTGTGGGCGGCTGGTGCGCTACTGCGTGCGGGCGGTTGGTAGCACACGGATTCGGGCCATACGTAAAGCTGGTTCTCGTGTACGTAAAGCTCGTACGGGTTCTCTTCAAACAGATAAATACGTACACAGGTCGATGCAGAAGAAAAACAGATAAATACAGGTGCGCGCTGTGCTGAATGAATGAACTGAAGATTGAGAGAAAGGCATTGCTTTTGCGATGTTTATTCATCCTTTATTCGGTGGGGAAAACTAAAGTGGGGGTGCCTTTAGCCCTTTTCCAACAGTTTAAAATGCTTCCAACCTTCCGGTGACAGATGGGCGCTAGTGGAGTGGCAATACTAATAAATTATTCTGAGAGAGGAAAAGGTAGTTACGAGTAGCAGGTGGCTGCGAATCAACCTGTGGTTGAGTTGGTTAGGTGGACAGTGGTATCTCCAACTCACCAGGGTTCAAATCCTGGTGCTCGCATTATTTTTGGATTTATTTTAGGATTTCCGGCGATGCGCTTTCAGTGGGAGGAGACGTTCCCGTCGACGAGGAGGCGCCTACGATGACTTCGTAAATCTCAAGATGATATGCCGGCTCAGTCTCTTGGAGGTGCTCATAGGGGTAAGGTGTGCGTGTGTGCGTTGATAGAGGTGAGTGTATGCGCATGTATATGAGCGCTTGTGTTTGTACTGATGCGAAAAAAAAGTAGCAGGTGGCCCGGGTGTTGGACGAACGGACGGCGGGCCGGCCGGAAGAATCGCTTCAGGAGGAAGAGAAGGTGGGGAAGATGCCAATGATGATCTCGTGCGAAGAATCCCCGCCGGGTGCGGGTCGAATCAGGTCAGACGGCACCGCGCGCGCCCACCGATTCCCGCGTCCCTCCCTTCCTCCCCTCCATGGTGGAAAAACCTTTTCCGCGAGCACCTGGAGCTGGGGAGGCGCGAGGCGCAAGTCGGTCAGCAACCTGCGCCGGTGGTTTTGCTTGCTTGGTGCCTCGGACGGAAACAGGTGCGTACGGTACGGCGGGCGCCCACTGAACTTTTTTTTTGAGCATCAGTACAGACACAAGCGCTCATATGCACTCATTTCTATGAACGCACGCACGCATACCCTACCCCTATGAGCACCTCCGAGAAACTGAGCCGGCATATCATCTTAAGATTTACGAAGTCACCGTAGGCGCCTCGTCGTTGACGGGAACGTCTCCTCCCACTGAAAGCGCATCGCCGGAAATCCTGAAATAAATCCAGGAATAATGCGAGCACCAGGATTTGAACCCTGGTGGGTTGGGGATATCACTGTCCACCTAACCAACTCAACCATAGGTTGATTCGCGGCGCCCACCGGACTGGTTGTCGTGCTACAGTGCAACCGCTTCGACCGGCGTCTAGTTTGTACTCCCTCCGTACCGAAATAAGTGTCCCAACTTTAAATGTATTAATTTTAGTATAATATTGTATTAAAGTTAAGACATTTATTTTGGGGCGGAGGGAGTACAAATTTGCCATATCTAAGACTAAAAAAATGTGTTATGCACACAATAAAAGTGTTGTGATGTTTTTGTACCTAAAAATTCCATACAAAGAGGAAAATTACCACTATATGCTAAAAAAATGCCTAGTTCTTTCTAACAAAAAATGACATGCTCTAAAAGAGGGGGAAAAGGCATGATCTATATTAAAAAATTGCCACGGTCTTTAACATAAAAACGACATGCGTTTTTTTCAAAACGACATGCGTTTTTTTTCAAAATGCCATGACAATTTATGGGCTTGATCCTATTATTAAAAATGTAATGTTATTCATAAAAACTGACATCCTATTATTAATAAAAATGTCATGTTATTAACGATTAAAATGTCATCCTAAAAATTATTAAACTGTCATCCTATTACTGATAATGAAAAATGGTATCATCTTAACAGTAACACTATCATGGACGATTAATAAAACTGACATGGTCTAACGAGTTAAAATGCCATGGTCTAAAGAAGTAAAAAAATCATGCTACCTATAATGAAATTTACACATGACAAACATTAGAACAAGTTGGTTAAAATAGAACAACAAATTGGCATGTTGAAAAAAATATGCCATGACAACTCTATAAATTTGCCATGTTAAAAAATATTTTACATGTGGACATGAAGAAAAAAAATTGTAGGAAATTGCCATGGCAAAAACTCTATGAATTAGCCATGTGGACATTTTTTGCACATGTGGAACTGACATATACCTAGTACAAAAAGATTTGCATCCAAAAATCTTCATGAGTTGATACTATCTCAAAACAAAAAGAATTGAGAAGAAATTTATTGATGCATGATAGTTTTGCCATGGCAATCCACACAAAAAATGCCATGTGACCAAAAAAATACAATTTGCTCTAAAAAAGCCATGTTTCGCTAAACAAAAATTGTCATGTTTTTTGAATATGCCATATGATTTTTGTGCCATGTTTTGAATTTGCCATATGAATTTCTCACATATAAATTTGCTCTAAAAACTGCAATTTGTGCCACTTCACACATAAATGCCATGTGACCAAAGACAATTTGCTCTAAAAAGCCATGTTTAAGTAAGCAAGAACTGCCATGTTTTGAATTTGCCATATTTTTCAAAATTTGTTCATGCCACCTCACACAAAAATGCCATCTAATCAAATACAAGTTGCTCTAAAGAA